TTTACAATAACTTTTATGATTTTTATGAGCAATATAATCTAGTCAACATTCCAATAATTTTTAATCAATTTTCTCAGAGATGGATTAGTGCACAAAAAGATATGAACTTGGGAGATTCAAATCTAAAATAACATAAATAGAGCAAATTGATTTCATTATATAGATTACAAACCAAGAATATATTTTTATCAAATCATCATGAGTCAATTTGCATTAAAAAAACTGATCATAAATTCAACCGAAAGAATTTTTCACATGTGTTGTCAAGAAAAATATGATCATGTTTCCTCAAAACCATAACCAAACCCTAAACTACCAAAAAGTGATCCAATGGCAACATATTTTCAAAGAACACACCACATGATCACTCAACCTGTGACCACCCGGATTTTTCGGTGTTTTTCTGTTTTTTTATTTCCATTATTTTTCGACGCCTCAATTTGTGTGCCGTGCACCGGTTGGTACTCTGTATGGGTTTCGAGAGTCTTTTCAGGCGTTTCTTAAAGTTTAGAACTCTTGGGATACTTTTCGATCTATTTTGGTTGTTTTTGAGTTTTGGACCGGGGGAATCCCGTGTGGGTTCGGGGTGGCCTAGGTGCACGAGAATGGTGAGGGCCTAAGTGAAAGTCATTGGAGGTCGTTATTATTATATTTTCGGTGGGTTGTTGCCTTAGGTCAATTTCATGGAAGTTGACTAGAGGAAAGGAGTAATTAGCTATAGAATTTTGGGATTAAATGGCATAAATAGAGGAAAGTTATGAGGGAAGTATAAATATGAAAAGTTTGCCTAACTCTTTCACTATTCATCATCTTCCTCTTTTATTTTCTCTCTCTATATCTATAGAAATATCACCCACCATGTATAAGCTTTAGAAAGCTTCGATTTGGAGGCCCTAATATTTGATTTTGAGTATACCCATGAAGGCAAAGTTGTTTCCCTCATTCTCCTCTACACATCCATGGTGAGAAATTAGAGATAGGTTTGTGAAGTCGAAGCGCTCCTCGGTAATTTTTTCTTTGGTATGAACTCACATCTTCTACTTGATTTTGTGTGAATTTGATCTTCATTTTGGATGCTTATATGAAAAATTGTTGGTTTATTGTTGCAGAGGTTGGTGCTGTTTGTGCATAGTGGAGTTCATGTGAAAATGCCCCTTAATATAAATTAGAGCGCATGCTCAATTCTTGATCCGTGTGTCACGTCAAGCCTTACACGGGGGGCATTACTTTTTGGGTCGGACCACGAAGTACCCGGCCCCTAACATAAAAACATGATGTTATTATAACGAAAATGCTCCTTAATATAAATTAAGAAAATATATTCTCTTAATATAAAACTAAAATTAATACAACAAATAAGGAAGTAGAGCCATCCACTTAGTTGTATATGGTATAAATAGTCAATTAAAAATTATTCGGTTAGCTAATTCACTAAGTGTTCGGTGAGAGTATCATTACTCTGATGTAAAACTAAAATTAATACAAATAACTCATTTGGCATAGTGGTATTAAAAAAAATTGAAAACTTTTTTTAATGGTACATGTATAAGAAAATAAAAATATCTTGAAATAATTTTAATTTTTTTAAAATTTAATTTTTAAAAAAATAAAAAGAAAAAGAAAACTTAAAATGAAAATCCTTTAAGTCAACCTAATTTCTTTTAAAATTTATATTAAGTGAAATTTTTGTATTATAACTTCACTTTAATGGTGTGTATTTAAAACCAAAATAATCTTAAAGTTCTATTTTTACAAAATTTAAAGAAAAAAAAAAAAAAATGAAAAGATCAGGTGATGGCGGCTGCTTGGTTCGGTTAACAGATTTCTATTTTTGAGAATTGAAAATGATTTATTATTTTCTATATTATTAAATCATTTTCAATTCTCAAGAACTATTTTCTCTTCCTCAGAAACCAATGGAAATTCTATGGCATGTTTGGTTTGGGCATGCACGGTGTAACAAGGGTCATTTTGTCCCACATCGGAATCGGATGGGAAAGAGATTGGGTATAAATGGGTGGGTATGCAGCCTTACCTAACAGTTCGAGCTTTTGGGTAAATGGGCAAGCGCCCACCCGTTACAGTTGGTATCATAGCCAAATCCAATCCTTGATCCGGTGCCACGCCAAGCGCCCGGCCCGGAAGGCGTCCGGGTGAGTCCACCCGGATAGGCAGGGTGGCCCAACCGCAACGAGGGCGTTGCGAGTTTGAGTGGGGGAGAATGTAACAAGGGTCATTTTGTCCCACATCGGAATCGGATGGGAAGGAGATTGGGTGTAAATGGGTGGGTATGCAGCCTTACCTAACAGTTCAAACTTTTGGGTAAATGGGCAAGTGCCCACTCGTTACACACGGATATTACTATATGAGCTATGCTTGAAAATAAGAAGTCTTCTCACTTGGAAAATGTATAACTAACACAAGCTGACTGACTTTTCTTTTGTGGACTAATAAGTTACCAAGAAAGACCGCCGGCCATTACTCGTCAACAAAATCTTAGATTTTATAGGTATTGGGACATGGATCATCTCCTTTATGGAATACCCCCATTAGGGATGTTACGGGGCATTTTTGGACAAATCATGACTAATGTCCAGTAAACCTCTCAGAATGTTATGGAATAAATAGGATGAATTATATATATATGCAGATATTGTTGCATGGACATAAAAAGCCCTTCAGTGGAACAGTAACATGTTCTAGTTGGTACGAGATATGTGACTCTCAATGGGTATATATAAAATAATTTATATATACTGTTTATGTATTTTAAGAAATACACCATAAATAATTTATTATTTAATTTCATAAAACATTATTATTTTATCTCAAAAGGTCAATTGTGCCTTTGTCATTTTTTCCTCCCAAATTTCTGTTCTAGGTCTGTGAAGGCCTCGGCAATTTTTTTCTTTGGTCTGCATTCACATTGCTGCAGAGGTTGGTGCTGTTTGTGCGTATTGGAGTACATGTGAGTCCAGGGCACCCTAATTGCATAGTATTTTTTTTTAAGAAAAACTATTCTTTTTTTTTATTATTATTTTATTTATTTATTTATAAATATTTTTTCTTAAAAAAAAAAAACTGTTCAAACATGAACAAATTTAAGATACATTTTGTAAAAAAAAATTATATAGTCAAATATTTATCAATCATAATATCAAAACTGTTTGTTAAAGTTTAAAATTAATTATCATAAGAAATAACGAAAAAGGAAAAATTATAGCTAATAAAAGAATATTTGTTAATATATTAATTATTAATCAGGGCTAGTTGGAAGCTTTGTATGTTTTAAATTTTCTTTTCAAACTTGTGTCTAATCTTTCCAATAGGGGTGGAACGGAGCAGGATGGATTAAATTGACATTCCTGCTTTGAGCGGAATAATTTAAATGTATAATCAAATTATCAACTTCTTCAATTTAAATTAGACAAAGAAGAAAGGAATTCCAACCTAAAATCATAAGGTGGGGCCGGATAGTGTAAGTCTCCAAAAACACGGCAACACCTCCTCTTCTAGTCCAAATTTTGAACTTGAGTGGTCAAATTTGAACTGTTACTGAAAACAAGGCCACTAAAAATCAATTAATCATTCTTATACAACCGTCCCAAAGTCGTCTAATCCAAATTTTGAGCCATTTAGACTTTTGAAGACAAATTAAAGAGTAATTGAAGGGTTTGAAATTGTGGTGTGGTAACTTATTCCCCATGGATAAGACGTTGGTGTAGGTGGAGATTCTAGAGACTGGTGTGGTAACTTATTCCACATGGATAAGACGGTGGTGTAGGTGGAGATTCTGGAGAAGACTTCTCTGATTTTAAACTTTGCACTGATCTCTACTTCTTACGTATGCCTTAATTACACGAATTTCTCTTATAATTTTTAAAATTACTCAATTTTTTTTTTAAAAGTCACTATTAGTCAATGACGGGAATCGATGTAATCAACTTAAAATTAGTAAAATTCTCGTATTGCTCATGTGATGAATACAAAGACTCTTTTATCCTCAATAAAAATGGTAAATTGCAAAAATACCTAATCATTGTATGTATAAATATTATATACATATATATATACACACACACACACATAGATAAAACCTTAATCTCAAATCTCATTATACATTCCTCCTTCAAATTCATCTGAGAAATGAAGTTGAATACACATTGAATTTTGTATATATATATGTATATGTATATATTTATGTATCATTGCTAAAAGATGACCTCCCTTTTTTTTCTTTCTTTTTTTTCTTTCTTTTTTTTATTTTTTCATTTTCTAATTTTAGATAAATTCAACAACAGATTCAAAGGAATTAGATTGGGTTTTGATTAGAAGGTAGAAAGTTTAAGAGAAAATAGGACTTTTAGAGAGAGAAAGAGATGGACATAAAAAACATCTTTGCTAGCTTAGATTTATTTTATTTTAAGGGTAGTTTGGTAAAATGACTTTAGTCTAATTGACAGTTCGTCGCTGATAAGGGAGGTTAGTAATATAATATTTGTTTTTAAGAAAAGTCAGAGTAATTTTAAAAATCATAGAAGAGATAGTGTAATTTAGTATTAAAATTTTAGTAACTACCAAGTCCATATTTGGTTTTTAAGAAAAGTCAAGAGTAATTTTAAAAATCAAGAGATAGTGTAATTTAGTATTAAAATTTTAGTAACTACCAAGTCTAATTTAAGCTTTAACCTCCTGGTGATACCGACAAAATACATATAGCCCAACCAATGCAAATTTAACCCGAGTTTAGAAAGATAAACTCAAGTTGGACTCATTTAGTAAGAGATTGGTTGGACTTGAGTTAAAATATATTCTCAATACTTCAATAAGCAAATTAATGTTGATAAGTGATGGAAGGGTTAGAAATGGTGCCGAAAGTCCGCTAAAAAGTCAGTCAACTTGTGGTAGTAATCAAATAGGTGTGGAGATTCTGGAGAAGACTTTTCTGATTTTAAAGCACATATACGTACCTCATATATGTATATATAAATATATCACGAATGTATCTTCACCATGCAGCAGTACTAGAGCCCTTCATCCTCCACCCTAACACATCCACAATGAAATTCCTAGGAGATGATAAGCCATTCCACCGCCTATTATTTTCTAATTTCCGACTTTTGTTCATTTCCATCATCATCCTTGTGTTGCTTTCTTTTTCCCATTTCACTGCTTGTGATTCTTCTTCTGCAGCTCCAAGAGAAAAGGAAAGAGAGGCTCTTTTAAAGTGGAAAGCTAGTCTTCACAATCAAACCCAATCTCTTCTCTTATCTTGGGCTCCAAACAGCAGCAGCAGCCCTTGCAATTGGGTTGGGATTCATTGCAAAAAGGGCAATGGAAGTGTCACCCACATACGCCTTCAAACTGTTGGTTTAAGAGGTACACTTCACAATCTCAACTTCTCATGCTTCCCTCATCTCCGCACCATTTTTCTTTATAACAATTCACTCTACGGGACTATCCCCAACCACATCGGTACCCTTTCCAAGCTCACTTACCTTGACTTGTCTTTCAATTTTCTCTCGGGGTCAATTCCATCTGAGATAGGAAAACTGATGTCTCTCAATGTGATAGCACTCGCCAAGAACAATCTCACAGGTCCAATCCCTGCTACAATGTGGAACTTGACCAACTTGACCCTTCTATGCCTTTATCAAAACAAACTTTCTGGATCCATCTCTCAACAAATTGGAGTGTTGAGGTCTCTTGTCAATCTCCAATTGTCAAACAATTATTTTACAGGTTCATTACCCACCTCATTAGGGAATCTAGGCAACTTAACCAAATTGTACGTTCAGGCAAACAACCTCTCCGGATCCATTCCATCCAGTATTGCAAACTTGACCAAGCTATTCCATTTGGATTTGGCCATAAATCATTTGTCTGGTTCTATCCCACCAGAAGTAGGAAGGCTAGAATTCCTCGAGCATCTAAGTTTGTTCACAAATAAATTCACTGGCTCTGTACCTACAGAGTTGAGTAATCTTACCCATTTGAGAATGTTGCATTTAGCTGACAATGAGCTTACTGGTCATTTACCACATAACATTTGCCTTGGTGGATCACTTGAATATTTCTGTGCATGTGTCAACAATCTCACAGGTCCAATCCCTGACAGCTTGAAAAGTTGCACTAGCTTATACAGAGTTAGGCTTGAAAGAAACCAACTTTCTGGAAATATGTCAAACGATTTCGGCATATATCCAAAATTGGATTATATCGATTTGAGTGATAATAAACTGTACGGCGCGCTTTCTCATAAATGGGGCCGGTGCCACAATCTAACAAGCCTAAAAGTGTCCAACAACAATATTTCTGGTCAGATACCACCTGAATTGGGAAATGCGACTCAGCTTCGTATACTTCACATCTATTCAAATCGTCTTGACGGAAAAATTCCAAAGAGTTTAGGAAGGTTAACCTCATTAATAGACCTTGATTTAAGCAACAACCGACTTTCAGGTAGCATTCCTTTGGAAATTGGTGGGCTATCAGACTTGGAACGTCTTAATTTGGCAGCAAATAATCTAAAGGGCTCAATTCCAGAACTATTAGGAGAGTGCGTGAAACTATTGTATTTGAATTTGAGCAGAAATATTCTTGCTGAAGGTATTCCTTTTGGCCTAGGCAATTTACACTCTCTTGAAAACCTTGATGTTAGCCACAATTTACTAAAATGGGAAATACCAGCCCAACTTGGACAATTGAAGAAGTTAGAAGCATTGAATCTCTCCCACAATAAGCTTTCTAGATCCATTCCATTGACTTTTGAAGGTATGTTAAGTTTGACTTTTGTTGATGTATCATACAATCAGTTGCAGGGTCCTGTTCCAAAAAATAAAGCCTTTCAAGAGGCTCCGTTTAATGCATTTAGTAATAACAAAGCTTTGTGCGGCAATGCCACTGGTTTGAAGGCTTGCGCCCCCACAACGAACAATGATGCTAATAAGGAGGAGAAGAGCAACAAACTTGTGATTTTGATCATAGTCACTCTTTTAGGCATTTTACTTTTTTCATTTATGGTTGTTGGGATTTTTTACCTTCTTTACCCCAAAGTGGGCAGTGTAGAAAATGAGCCAAGAAGAGTAAACAATGAGAATTTATTTGCAATATGGAGCTATGATGGAAAACTGGTGTATGAAAACATCATTGAAGCAACAAAGGACTTCAGCTCTGATCATTGCATTGGGGTAGGAGGATCAGCAAATGTTTATAAAGCTCAGTTGCCGAGTGGTCAGGTTGTTGCTGTGAAGAAACTTAATGCCCCGGAAGATGATGGTGTACGGGCTACTGATCAAGATGTTTTTACAAGTGAAATCAGAACATTAGCAGAAATACGTCATCGGAATATTGTGAGGCTTTATGGTTTTTGTTCGCACCCACGACACTCGTTTTTGGTTTTCGAGTTCTTGGAAGGGGGAAGTTTGCAAAAGATATTGAGTAGTGACCAACAAGCCTCAGAATGTGGATGGATTAAGAGGGTGAATGTGGTAAAAGATGTGGCAGATGCTTTGTGTTACATGCATCATGATTGTTCGCCTCCTATAGCTCATCGGGACATATCAAGCAAGAATGTTTTGTTAGATTTTGAATATGTGGCTCACATCTCTGACTTTGGCAGTGCTAGGCTTCTAAATCCTAACTCTTCCAATTGGACTTCATTCGCGGGGACCTTTGGGTATGCTGCTCCAGGTAATTTTGCTTATTACATTATTATAAATGATTTTGGTCCAATTGTTGTTCTATGATCTTAATGGAATACACTAATTACACAATATACTAGATGCACTTCTTCATTTAACCCATCGTACCTTGATATATGATTAACATCATGTCCAATTTCTCCATCATAAAAGATAATTTAGCCTAAATAGCGAAAATATCCAATTTTTTGTACCTCTTGATCCTCACCTTTTGTGTTCCATAGTTATGTTGAAAAATGATTGTCAGATTTCTCTTTACTTTTCTTGTCCTTTATTCATTGCTTTGCAGAACTTGCTTATACAATGGAAGTGAATGAGAAATGTGATGTTTTTAGCTTTGGAGTGTTGGTAGTAGAAGTGATCATGGGAAAGCATCCAGGCGAGCTCATCTCCTGTCTATCATCATCATCATCATCGCCACCGACATTGGTTGCCCGAGATATACTCTTGAAAGATGTGTTGGATCAACGTCTTTCACCTCCAACGGCACAAAAGGCAGAGGAATTAGTCTTTATCACCAAGCTAGCTTTTGCATGCCTGCATGTAAGTCGCGAATCTCGGCCAACAATGAGAGAAGTCTCCACAGAGCTATCGAAACGAAGGCCAACGCTGCAAAATCCATTCCACACGATTACATTAGGACAATTGCTTGATATTGGATCTTTAGCCTCCTGAACATTTTTGCATCTTTTAATTTTTTATGTTCTTGTGTTATTTTTTCCACTTTTAATTTTCAATTTTATCGTTTATGTATTGTATTCCTTTGTCCTGTTTATCTTTTGTGGTGAGGATGATGCCAAGATTGTTGTAAGATACAGTGCATTTTATTGCACATCGTAAGACCAATCCAAGTGTCTCTTATTCAATAACATACATAGCTCCTATCGTAACCTGCTGAAGAACACAATATAGGGCAATTCAGTGTTGTTGAGATTTAAATGTGTTTGTTGTCATTCTTCAAGTAAGAGACTTCCAGAGTGTTATGTAGTGTAAAATATTGGGCAGAGAGTTTCAATGGTCTGTTTAGTCTATCATTGTAGTAGCAATGAGTGAAGGAGCAAATCCCTTTGTCACTTAGCGACAAGGTCGGATTCCTACTAAATTTGCTTTCTTCCTTGGAAGGTTAATTTTATGGCTTCCTAACTCTTTGTGTTTGTGTGTGTGTGTATGTAGATATATCTTTGAACTTATATTATATATGATCGTTTCTTATGGTGATTTTTTCTTCCAAATTTACACACAGAATTTTGCTCCCCTATCATGCTACTTACTCGTAACGGTGGGTATGTACTAAATTTACTTGGGTTTAAAATTTGGAAACCTTGAAATTTTAAGATCCAAACTTGAACTCAAAAATTCCTCAACCTCCGTTATGACTGCAAAATAATAAAATATGATAAAGATTGCATAATTATAGAGTTGCTAACAAGTAAATAGTAGTAAACAATTTGTAATTACCTAATTCATATTCTTCAATTAATTTCTTGCATAGTTTATCCAACTTTAATTGCAAATTCAGTTTATCAACAACACATGGTTTCTTGAATTCAGTTTATGTCAAATGTTAAAATTTCATTCCATACCACTATAATATACTTGCCAAAGTAGAGAATGAAAGAGACACAAATGATGAGTATCTTCACTACTAACGAATGCTATAAGTCAGCTTGTTGTCACGGGGTTAAAGTTTCAGCACCACTCTAGCCAAACCCGTGTGGCACCAAGATGTTACTTCTATGTGTGCAAGCACTTGGTCAGCCTAACTACCGTGCACACCTTAGCCAACACACTCATCTCGTGCGCTTACTAGTGTTGTAGTGGCCCTTGATCTCACCTTCACTTAGCTTGCATACTGATAAGTGCTCAAATGTTGTACATTTTAGCAGCTAAGTTAGGATATTTTAATCCATTTATTTATCCATTTTTTTTTAATTTTTTTTTAATTTTTTTTTATTTTTTAGTTCTAATTTGTGTTTTTGTTGATTTCAGATCAATAAGGTTCAAATGGCTTGGAGTCAAGCAAATTCATCGAGAAAATCCAAAAAAAGTCAGAAAATTGCCAAAGTAGGAGGTTGTGATCAATCGTAGAATTTCACGATCGATCGCAAGCCATGTCATCATTCGTAGCCACATCAGCAAGTCCAATCAGCAATTATAGAAGCCACGTCATCGTTCGCAGAATCTATGATTGATCGTAGGTACATCACGATCGATCGCAATGCTAAGTCAGCGGATAAGTTCAAAAATGGATAAGGATTAGTGCCATGTCAGACACAATCGATCGCATAATCTGTGATCGTTCGTGAATTTTTGCGATTGATCATAGATTGCCTGGCAGTGTGCTGTTTTATTCTCGATTTCGCCTAATATTCACCTACTAAATGGCTGTGGGATTAATTCATTTTGGGGCTCAATTCTAACTTGTTTGGCACTCTAAGGAGCTTGTATAAAAGGAGGATTGAACCATTTTGTAATATATCTTTCATTCTAGGCTTTTATTTTACATTGTAATTTTTATATTTTCATTAGTCTTTTCTTTAGAAAAGTTAAAGATTAGGGTTAGAAGAAAAGGGAAGGGTAGAGGCACCAAGAACACGTCTCAAGATCTACACACACACACTCTCTCTAGAATTCAACAAAGAAGAAGATAGAGCCATGTTTGGAAATTGCCCTTGAGGGTTCCAAGATCACATCCACCTCCTCCATGATTGGCTAGACTTCTCCTTAGCGCTTGGATGAGCCCCAAGTTTATAATCTAACTCCTTCTCTTTAACTTTTTGGGAAATTATCTTGTATTAATGCTATAGCCTTATGTATATAATGAATTTTGGGTTCTCCTTTGATTTCTATGGTTTAATTCTTCCTATTGATTTTCTATGTGATTACATGTCGTCTTATGTGTGATTATTGGGGAATTGATCTCTACACTAGTTTTTCTATGTTAATTGCATGTCTATGTGTGGTTGATTGAGAATCTAGTGATGGCTATGCATGGTTTTCATTGAATGGATTTATCAATTTATTTGATGGATTATACTTAGGCTTGATGGGTTATACTACACATTAGTTTATTTGTTGTTAAGTAGACAATCTATGCTTGAATTTAATATTCCATGGCTTATTATTGCAATTTTCATGATTCTCTAGATTGATGTGTGCTACAATTGTTGGTTAATTTAATGGGTCATGCTTAAACTTGATGGGTTGTGCTACACTTAGTTTACTTGTTGGTTAGGTAAACAATTCATGCTTGAATTTGATGATCCGTGCTTAATATCGCAATTGGTAGTCGCATTTTGTAATGACCCGGTCATTTCCTTCTTTTCCTTTTTTTTCCTCAGAATTTTACGGATGAATTTTTTTCGTTGAAATTTCTTTTCTGGGTTTGATTTCTTGTCACTTAGTGTCGTCTCGGGTACTCGGAAATGGTTTATGAGACTCTTTCATTTGGATTAACAACTTCCTTTGAGGGCCGTCACGGGTGGTATCAGAGCCCTTAGGTTCGAAAATCTTAGGACGACGGGTTTTGGGTGCATATCATGCTTGTGTTGTCATGCTCTATGTTTTTATTTGCTTCTTGATAACATGTTGAATGTGATTACATGTTTACGTGCTTATGTGGACGTATGTTTAGAAGTTTACTTTAACTGCCTTAGCATGACATATGTACTTGTTTACTTTTGTACATTGTATATACTTGTAGGTCTTAGCACATTGTATGTGCTTGTCTATTTTAGCATGTTGATTTACGCTTGTTTGCTTAGTATTAGGGTTATGCTTGTTTGCTTTAGCGTATTGTATGTGCTTGTTATCCTTAGCATGACTGTATGTTGCGTGTATCGACATGCCTTATGTGATCCTTTACTACTTGTGTGGGTATGTAGTCCATTGCTGTGTTACGTGTTAACTGTTTATTTCTATGTCTTGTTTAGGCATTACGGGTTGTCTCAGTTTAGTTGGTTGAGACTAATGCTAGGGCATCGAATCTTGGAGTTTTGTGGTGACCTTAATGTGATGACATCATTGGGGTCTTGTTTCTAGCGTCATGGGACAATGAGTCGGATTGACTCGAGTCTTTCTTTGGGGATTGGGAGGTTTGTTTTCTTGAGCCTCAACGGCGGGGTTCTTGTGTCTTTTCTTCTTAGAGTGATGGTTAGGGATTTGATAGGAGCGTTGACCTAAGATATCTTCTTATCCTGCCTTAGACAGCTCTTACTAGCTAAGGTTGGGGTGTGAGTGTTTTCATGTAATTAATTGCATTGGTGCAATTAATTACTCTCCCTTAGAAGACTCGGGGTTGTGTTTAGGGTTCTGATTAGATCCTGTAGAGTTCTTATCAAACTCATTGACATCTTAAGTTGAGTTCTCTTTGTCGGCGTCTCGTAATGGTTAGTATTGGGACTATCCATTACATCGTTGTTTATTTTGTGTGGTGTTAGGATTCCACCTTAGTTGGGTTTGAGTCAGTCTTGGAAAAGACTTGTAGGCTCTTTATTTCGGGAACTTTAGTGTTCATTCTGGGAGATGATTCATTTCCTCACTGTGAGAGATTGGAACCATCCAGGTTTTTGGGCTTCACTTTCTGTGAGTTCGTTCTTTTGAGAGGCATTTCATCCCTTCTTGCTTACAATATTGTAGGATTGTTATTTGCATAGTTATTCCTACATGTTTATGTGCCTTGTTGTTTTGAGCATGCCTTAGAAATATGTTAGGGGATGTAACTATTTGGTAATATGTGATGATATAGCTAATGTGTTTTTCATTTACTATATCTACTTGTCATGCTAGCGTCATAGGTGATGTGTAGTGTGTCGCTAATGCTTGACCCCTATGTAATAGGTAGCATATTTGATTGCCCTTGTACACTGTGTTTAGTTATTGGTGTGTGGATTTTCATTTACGTGTAGTATACTTGTACCTAGTATGTTTGCGCGTTGTTTGTTTCATTTCGTTTTAGTTTACTATACTTGAGCCCGTATACTTGTCTACCATGGATTTAGTATTGCTTAGTATGCTTTTGGATGTATACTTGTACATATACATATATTATGTTTCCATTTTGATATTTCTTAGGATACTTGTGAATGTATACTTGCATATGTATATATATGTTTCATGACTAACTGCCTTATTAGTTTATTCCTTTTTATCAATCCGTACTGTTCTGAGGGTTATATGACCTTGGTTGTCAGGATTGTGTGTGTGAGCTTGATTTGATGTCTTGATTCCTAGGCGTAGCCTTGTAGTAAGTCAGTTTTAGAATGATGTGGAGGATTTTGGGTGCATTGTCTTGTTGGGAGTCATTGTGACTAGGGCGATGATGATGTTGTTTGATTTGTAAAGTCCGATCCATTGGCTTGAGGGCATAGACTCGTCAGGCTTTGGATTCGTGATTGGTGTGGTTGACAACTGTGTTTTGAGCTTGGGATTGTCAGTTTTTCCTGTATTGAGGATTTAAGGCTTTAAGCGTAGCAGTGCCTATGACATTGTTGTCAGAGTTTTGGATTTGCCAGAATGGTCCGGTCGGATATTTTGGACCATATCGCAACTCTCACAGAATGCCTGGTTTCCGTGGTGCTTTTGGTAATGATTCTTTGACATTGATGTCATTTGTATCGATAGGTTTCAGGGGTAAGCTTGTTGCGGGTAGATGACGAATTATGGCTTTATACTGTTATGCTACCGTACAAGTTATGTGTGGTGGGCGAGTGCTAATTGCCGTCGATGCTACCTTGCATTACCTAGTTAGTAATGTAAGTGTGGGCGGGCGCTTGATGCTGTCAATGCTACCGCACCTTAGGTACGTTGTGGGCGAGTTCTAGTCAGTATTCATGCTGCCATGTTGCTTCTGGTTGTTTTCCTTGTTTAGTTATGTAGTTGCCTTGATCTAATTTGGGTGGTTGACATTGGGTTAGTATGTCAATTCGTTTGAGA